TCTCTAGTAAAAATACAAAAAAAAAAAAAAAAAAAATAATGAGAAAATGAGCCGGGCGTCAAGGGAGAAGGAAGGAGGGAGAAAGAAAGAAAGAAGGAAGGAAGGAAGGAAGGAAGGAAGGAAGGAAGGAAGGAAGGAAGGGAAAGAGAGAGGAAAGAGAGAGAGAGGGAGAGAGGGAGGAAGTAAGGAAATAACCCTCTAAGTTGTTCAGTCACTACATTTCCTCCAATAAAACACTTAAACAGTAAAAACAACAGGTTGTTTTTCATGTTCTTTCGTTGATTTCACTCTACCATATGTCACTTAAAATATTTAAAGTTATTTAAACTTTATTTTCTTTCTCAGATTTAATTAAAAGATACCTTTTAATTTATTAATTCTAATTATGCACTTTTATTCTTCTCATTGACTAGGTGAGTAGGAGTAAATAAAGTACATGACATTTCTAATTTGCATTACTAGAAATTGCAACTCTATTTAGAATTACTTATCTTTTTAAATTATGAAGTGACACAGGTATAATCAAGAACGATCAACCATTTTTGGAAATCCTTATGAACGGTTTCCATTTGTGCCCTCCCTCTCTCACTTCTCTTTCCTCTTTATCATTGAATCTTTAATATTACTAAGAAATGTCACTTAAAATATAGCAGAAGCAACTAGAAAATTTTTTTATGGAATCAAAAATCAAATGATAAATTCTCCTTTAATCAATTTTATTGTGAAGAGAGTGTTAGAAAAGCAGCTCACAGTTGTAGATGTGTATCTGATTTCCTGAGATTGACTTGGTTTGTTTGTTTTCAACTTTTAAAAAAATACGGCCAGGCGCGGTGGCTCACGCCTGTAATCCCAGCACTTTGGGAGGCCGAGGCGGGTGGATCACGAGGTCAGAAGATCGAGACCACGGTGAAAACCCCGTCTCTACTAAAAATACAAAAATTTAGCGGGATGCGGTGGTGGGCACCTGTAGTCCCAGCTACTCGGGAGGCTGAGGCAGGAGAATGGCGTGAACCTGGTAGGCGGAGCTTGCAGTGAGCTGAGATCGCGCCACTGCACTCCAGCCTGGGCGACAAAGCGAGACTCCGTCTCAAAACAACAACAACAACAACAACAACAACAAAACAGCTAGGACTATAAATACAATTTCTGTACATAAATAGTGAAATTGAAAAGTGAAATTCAATGTTCTAAGCCCTTGAAAATCCATAAGTTCTTCTAAAATAAGGTATTCTGATACTAGATTGTTTAATGAATCAGTAACATGTCAGAAAGAAAATCAAATAATTATCCAATCTTGTGGAGGAAGAGTACTTAGATTATGGCTGGAAGGGTTTAGGACAGCTAGAAAGTTGCAAGTACTTCCACAACATGATCAGAATAAATACACACACACACACACATAGTGGCAGATGTTCAAATACAGAAACCTACTGAATGCCACATAGTTTTTGAAACTTGCAGATTATCTATGTTTTCTTTTTCTCATCCCCCTAGAAAAGAAGTCACACTTTTAAATTGAGTTCTAAGCCTTCCCTTTTGTAAATACTCTCTGTTATAATTTGCTCTCCTAACTATGAATTCCAAGAAAGCAGAGATAACATGTGTTTGCTCAATATTATGTTCCCAAGACCTGGCATTGTACCTAAAACATAGCAGGAGGTCGATGAATATTTATCGTATGAAAATAAATAAAAGAATGAATGAAGGCAGACAAAATCAATCCTAAATAACTGCAGATGAGAAAAACTTCAAAAAATGTAAAATCAACCAGAAGTGAAATAAACAGCAAGGACAGGGAAGGGGAAGTTTTTAAGTTGCAGGTCTTGTTTTTTCATCTTAAACCACAAGTTAAATTCAATTAGAAAAATTAAGACACTAATGTTAGCAATGGCTGTTTCAAGATAATAAAGTTAAGAACAATCAATGTTCTTTATATTCGTAGATGTCTATCAAATATTCTACAATAAAGTTTATTATTTTATATTCATAAAAAGGGAAAATAAAGAAAACAAAACACTTATTTTAGCAAATATTTACTTATGGTCTAGTATATGCTAGGCATTGCCCAGATGTCTAGATATGGATATGAGAAAGACAAGGTTCCTGCCATTCAGAACCCAGATGTATGCAGAAGACAGACAGTAAAATGAAATATTATAAGCAGTATAATGAGTGCTACAATCGGTGTGTTCATTAAGCACTAGAGAGAAAGCAATCATCTGTGCATATATATAGCAGAGTGGAGAGGCCTGAGAAGATTCACAAAGTGGGTGAGCTGTAAACTGTTTTCTTCTAGATTATATTTAAAGAAATTACTAAATGAACTATTATCTTTAGTAAAACTGATCTTAAAACCACTCCGTTACATTTTTTAAGCAAAATTACAAGAGCTTGAGAACATAACTATAAATAAACTAATCATTTATAACTTAAGTAATAATCACAAGCATGAAGCTAGAAAAGTACTAAGTGATGGAAAGTATTTATAAGTGGAGGAGAAAAGGGATTTTCCCTTTTTTCAGAGAACACCAATTTTAATAAAAAATGAATGAGCTTTTATAAATCAGTAGCTCCAAAATCTTTTCCTTTCAGAAAATAATAACTCTTTTAGTGATCTCTTATAATAGAACAGTCTGATAATCTCACAACTTTGCCAGAATCAGAAACTAAGAGGTAAGTGCTGAATTTGTTCATTCAAACAAAACAATAAAACAGAATGAGGGGAAGAAAGAAGCCTATGTTTTCTTTACTTGTCCTGCTTGTATATATGTTTTTTAAAAATCCCACAATAGTGGATGAGTTTAGAATAATACTTATCTCCTCTTCCTCTTCTGGAATCTTTGAAATCAGTGGGAGATGTGCACACACACACACACGCACACACAAAGAGACTGAGTATGAGAGGAATAAAAAGCATCAGTCTTTTGAAGCCAAAACTGCATTTATATCAATGCCCATTTCAAATATACTCAGTTTGAAAAAGTAACCTTTTTGAATATTTAACTGGTTAATGAGTTAGGAGACTCTTGATTTTAGGCAGTGACTTTCTACTTTTTAAGTGCTTAACAGGAAAATCTTTAAGAGTGATTTTTACTATAAATCAATTTCTGAGTTTTGTGTAGGTTTCAAACAGTAAAACAAAGGCAGTAAGATGAAGTCCTCATTGCTCAACTGATTAAAAATAATGTTTAATACTTATTTAGTATATAAAAGCTGTGGCTATCCAATATACGAAAGTGATCAAGTCATCTTGCCCAAGGACCCTATTATTGAAATGTGTCTGGTCTTACTCTCAGAACATCTGAGTGATTAAAGTTCAAATAAGCTATGAATTGGAGTTTTTTCGAGAGTGAAGAGTCTCCAGTGGCAGGGAGTGTTTTGGAAGGATTATCCTCTCTAAATTTATTTGGTAGGTATTGGGCACCTTCCTTATCATGTATGCCACCACATGAGACATCTGCAAGATGTTTGCCAGATAATCTATACCAGATAACAGGTATATGTTATCAGATTTATTAGAGGAAAAATCATGAAGAGTGTGAGAGAAGAGATTTTAAAGGAGATGAACTGCATAATTATATACTTATTCTATAGAACCAAAAATAAAATAGATTAAAACTAAATAAATAAAATAATATGCATAACAATATCTACCCAACTAAGGGTAAAGATAGTGTAATAAAAATACTTGGGTCCATTCTTCCAGGTTCAACTATAAATTAAACTTATCTATCAGATACACTACCAAAACCATTTTTATTGAAACATTATGTGATTTGCAGATGAACCATATTCCCCAGCTCTTCTTCTAGTAACAGATTTTCCAAGATGTGTTTAATAATCTGAATTCCAATGAAGAATACTTATAGCAATCTGCAACATTGAGGAAACGTCTACTATGAACCTTATTTTAGTTGCCTATTAGGAGAGGATCATTATTAGCCTTCTACTCTTCAGAATTTCATGAAGAACAGGTTTTTCTATTACTCCAGAATATCATGAAGAACAGGTGCTTCTGTAATACTTCTAATATAATATTACCCTAATTTCCGCTCCCCAAACTTAGAATAATGAACCAGAGGCCTGGACATAAGTATATGTCATAAAATGCATTTTTTAAGAAAATCAGGATTTCAAGTAAGCTACATTTTAAAATAACTGCCATTTTTTTTCAGAGTGAATTGGAAAATCAACAAGCAACAAGAATGAAGATATGAAATTTAGGAACAAAGCATTAAGACCTGTGCCAGAATTGTAGTTTTTTTTTTAAAAAAAAAAAATTAATTAGCTGTCACATACCAGAAAAATGTTCATAAAGTAAACTAATCTCCAGGCAGGGAGCAAGTCTTGAGGGAAGTCCCTCTCCCACTCTGCTCCATGCATCAAGAGAACCATTGGACCAGATCCTCATTCAACAGGGACCTCATCTGCCCTCCTTTCACTCCACTAGGTTCCATCATTGCTATGGGGACTACAAAAAGGCATTATAAGGTAAGGTCACGTATTAGCTATTCCCATTTCTAGTTGTCTTTATTTTATCACAGGTACATGTAATTACGAACGTTGTGCTGTGGATTTTTATTGTAATTTATAGAATAATTTTTTCATTGCTAACTTAAAATAGTAACCATTATCACAATTGCAGCCCATAATCATGATGGACAGCTTCCCACTGTAATTTATCTTCCCCAATCTCTTGGTTTCATACTAACCTCAGGTTCTGTTTATTATGCACCTGCTACATGACAAGTGTGAGGATAAAGTTGTGAGAATGTAGGCTTATGAAGATTATGTTCTTCATGGAGAGATGGAGAAGATAAGTGAATGGATAAATAAAGAGTTTGTGATAGGAATTCTGAAGGTAACAAAACTGTGTGATGCTATTCAGCATAGAAAGTAACTGAGTTGGGAGGGGAGGAAGACACTCCTCAGACTGAAACATCAGAAAATCCTCCCTGGAATGAAAAAGTGGGCTGATTTCGAAGTGATGGGGAGGAGGTGGTTATGAGCTGATCTAGAGAAGGTGGGGGCAAGCAGAGAGAAAATCATGAGTGTATTGGTCCTCACTGCTGATAAAGACATACTTGAGACTGGGAAGAAAAAGAGGTTTAATGGACTTACAATTCCACATGGCTGGGGAGGCCTCACAATCATGGCAGAAGGCAGGGTAGAGCAAATCACATCTTACATGGATGGCAGCAGACAAAGACAGACAGCTTGTGCAGGGGAAGTCCTCTTTTTAAAAGCCATCAGAGACTTATTCATTATAATGAGAACAGCATGGGAAAGATCTGCCCCCATGATTCAATTACCTCCCACCAGGTCCCTCCCACAACACATGGAAATTCAAGATGAGATTTGAGTGGGGACACAGCCAGATCATATCAATGAGAAAACCCTGGGGCAGCTCCATGCTTACTATGACCTAAGGATAGACAGGCAGCAAGTGAGTGCAGAGAGCACTAGAAAGCTTGACATGAGATTTAAAGGAGAGAGAGAAGGGTCACAGAGAAATTATATAGGGCTTTTAGGCCTGAAATTCAAAATGTGATGGAGTTATTGATGGATTCTATGCTCATGTATGGTGTTATCTAACTCATCTCTCTGACTGAATGTGCAGAATAGATTATAAAGGGAGCCCAGTATGGAAGGTAAGGATAATTAAAAGGCTCTGGAGAGGTCTAGGTGCCTAGGTGACCCATGTTGGAGGTTTGTACTGAAGATAACAATAGAAATGGACAGTGTGCATCCAAGTTACTGGTTAGAGAACATCCTTTCTTAAGGCTTTCATAGATCCCAAAGCCCTTGCCTCTTTTTTTGCAAATGTTGATGGTAATAAAGAAGGGAAGCAATTATCAAACAGCAAGGAAATACACAGTATATTTTATTTTTCTCAAAAGAATGTATTTGAGTTAAGCAGTTTGTAAATGTTTATCCTTTCTTCCTTGTAATGCTGTGAGATATTAAGGAGTATTTATTTTAGAGATGGATTTTTTCATTAAAAAATTATAGTAATTATAGATTTGTGGTTTAATTTTTACTCGATGAAACAAAATTTCTTCAAATAACACCAATACAAAAGAAAAATTAAGCAAATTCACACACACTCAAACACACAGAGAGAGAAAGAGAAGAGTTGTGGACCGCATTTTTATTCCTATGTCATGAAACAGCCATTATATAACTTTTAATTTATGTTTATGTGGGCTTGAAAATTTAAACTTTAATTCCTTAGATAAAAAAACTAAAAATTATTATTTTGGAGATATTGGTGTTTGTGAACATTTGGCCTTTCCATTTTTTCATAAATTCAAAGAAAATATTTTAGCAAGAAAACTAAATTAAAACATAACAATTTATAAATATTCTACGAAGATTTCAAGGTGCAACATGTTCCAAAAATAAACTGTAAACAACCTTGCCATTACAAAGCTGACTTTTCTAAATCCAAACTCTTGTTCTCTATCTTCTACCAAATGAATAAATGAAAGACATATTTAGCAGTGTCTGTAGCTATCATATTCTCATGCTCTCAAGAAACAAAGTGTGATAATACATGAAAACACAGCAAAGCAATGGAGTAATGAAAATTTGGTGGAAAAAGGAATCAGCTATTCTAGAAAAGCTAGAATAAGAAGATAGGAGGCTCTTGCATTCAGTTTATGAAAAGGTGTAAGATGAAAAAAGTGCCCCTGGGTGCATTGGATTAAAATCATGAAAACAAACCATTTACATGTAAAAGGCAGAAATAAGTGTGTATCCTAGAATAAACTTAAGTCCAGCCAAAAATAAAAATTTTTCTGTCCACGTTTTGTATCATATACTCATTTTATTACACACCATTTTTTTCATACTGTTTATACATTCTAACTTGGAAATAGGAGAAAAAGTATGGAAACATGATAGGCAAAATCCTAGAGAATTTAGAAAGTTTTCATTTGAAGAGATAAATAGCAACAAAAAATGTTATAATAATAAATTATCATCTTGCAAACTAATCTTAAAGGTAGCAGGCACTCATTAGTAGCCTTTGCCACCATGAGAGCTAATATTATCTGTGATGGTAAAGCTTACTGGGATTTCTCTAAAGGAACACAGTTGGGACTTGTTCCTAGCAAAATGCAGTATGCTCTGTGAAAGGTAGGGGTCCCTCCAAAGGGGATTACATCCTGCCAAAAAGCTCATTTGTATAAGCATTCCCTCCTCCCAGGCTCCCCAGCAATTCTCCCCTTTGCTTGGCACCATGCAGCAGCATCACGTGACTTTTTGGATTGGCTGATTGAGTTCATTGAACATACAGCCTTGGCAGTGGCAATTATCCTGGCAGTGTCAGAAGCCAGGAAACATATACCAGTAAATGGATCTCATTTTAATCACTGTACATAGGGTTTGCTTGATTTATCCCATATCATACCAAGCTCTAATGTGGCAGCCAAACTCTTCACTCAGTTGCCATGCTCAACAAAATGGTTAACGTTGAACTTCTATTACCTTGCCAATGTATAGTTTTCTGTGGTTACCTTTTCCTTTTTAATTGTTTTTCTGTCATTTTGTTTCCTTCCCACTTAGGGTTCATTAATAAGGTTGAGCAAGTTCAATTTTGTTCAATTACTACAAACAATGTAGGAATGAAGATGTTTCTGTTTGAACCACAAACTACTTTTAATAACATTTTAAAAGAGAAACTAAAGATTATTATTCCAAAAAAAATTAGGAGAGTTTCTTGCTCTGTTAATTTTTCGTATAATCTGAAAATTGTGGCTGAAAATTTTTATTAAGCCCCTTGGTGTCTCAGTAAGTGCCTGAACAGAGATTGAAAAAAGAAAGGTCACATTGACACTTAACATACTGTCATGTTCTTTTCTATGCATCCACTTGGCTAGGCTATGGTCCACAGTTACTTAATAAAACATTAATCTATGTGTTGCTGTGAAGGAGTTTTGTAGGTGTGATGAAAGACTATAGCCAGTTAATTTTAAGATAATCTTAGATAATATGGGGAGCTTTATTCAATTAATTGAAAGGTCAAAATCACCACCAAGAATTCTCTCAGGAAGAAGAAATTCCACCTGTGAACAGCAGCTTCACTTGACGTGCAAGAGCTCTAGCCTCTCCTAACAGATGGCCTGTCTTGTGGGTTTCAGACTTGCCTATTGAGCCCCCAAAATTACATAAGCCAATTCCTTATAAATCTCTTTATACATATGTGCATATATGTGCGTGTGTGTATGTGTGTGTGTGTGTGTGTGTATATATATATATATAGTACAGGTTCTACTCCTCTGGTTGAGCCTTGGTTGACACATATTTGTGTAACTAGAAGTGAATTACTATTGTAATAAATACCTAAAAATGCAAAGTGGCTTTGAAATTGGGCAATGAGAACATGCTGGAATAATTTTGAGTGACATAATTATTAAACACTACCTAGATTGTCTTAAACATGCTATTAGTAGAAATACAGATACCAATAACTCTGTGGATTAATTACTCAGAAGAAAATGAGGAGCATAGAAGAGAAAAGCTAAATCACCTTAGAGAATATCTAAATTTTCATGAACAGACTTGTAGTAAATATATGTATATTCTAGGTACTCCTGGTGAAGGATTAAGAGAAAATGAGGGGTATCTTATTAAAAACTATCGAAAAAGGGATTCTCATAACATAGTAACAGAAATCTCAGCAGAATTGTGTCGTGAAGTGATGTGGAAAGCAGACCTTAAAAATGATGAAATAAGACATTCAGCTGAGGAAATTTCCAAGCAAAGTGTTGAAATTGTGACCTAGTTTTTTTCTTCCTGCTTATTATAAAAGGCAAGAACAAAGGGCTAAATTGAGAAAAGATATGCTAAACACAAAGAAACTAGGTCTTGATGATTTAAAAAATTCTCGATCTACCAAAATTTCAAAATGCCCTATAATTAAGATATTTGCCATTGTAAATGGAAGTTATAGTGGAAAAAAAATCAAGAATATGGTCAAGCAACCTTTAGATAATATCTCAGGAAGATTAAAAAGCTAAGGATTTAGTCACAGAAAGCCTTCTTGAAAATAATGTGTGTGATTCATTGATTCCCTCAGTCAACTAGGCAGAAGCCAAAAATAGAGATAGGATCTTTCAGAAAACATCTCTGGAAAAGAACGTTGTCTACTGGAGTGAACCCTCATGATATACATAGAAAAACCCCAAAATTCTTGAGAATTTTTGTACCAGGAGGAATAATGCCAACTTAGAATTGAAAGAGAGAGAGGATAAAATGAAAGAAGTCTTCCTGACCCCCAAAATTCTGAAGGCAGGAAAGAGGTGGTAAAATCACCTAGCAGCAAACTCAGGATATCTTCATAAAAAATATATGATGACTCACAGGGTAGATCTTCAAGGGACCAGGATGAAGCCTCAAACACGGACTGCAGAGGCTGGAATTGCAAACCACAGACAATCATTTCCAGATTTGAAATCTAATGTAGTTTGCCTGGCTAAATTTAAAAG